ATCTTAAATTGAGTTTTCTCCGTTATAGTTTCTCCCAGATTTCTCCCTTGATTTTCACTATTCTCCCTCTGAAGAAATTCTCTACCAACCAAGTAAGATGTTTTAACCTCAACTTTTCTCCAAAAACTCAATAACAACTCAGCCGTAACATGAATTTTTATCCCTTGATTTTAGAAAAATTCATTATACTCCTCTGAAACTTTCTCAAGGCATTCATAACGGCTTAAACCCAAATCTCATAGTTCTTCCTTGTCATGAAATCCTCCACTAGTTAATGATGAATGAATAATATTTGAACCTTCTAAAATATATAGACCACATATTTTAGACCCTTTAGCAATAATTATTTCATCACGCGAAATCTTTAACACTCCATGTTCAACTCTAGTACAATAGCCTAGATCGTTAAACATACTTATAGATAATAAATTTCGCTTGAATTCTGGAACATACCTCACATTGTGAGTAAGAAGTTCACGATTATCAAACATTTTAAATTTGTCCGTACCAATACCATAAATATTGCAAGCCTTATTATCACCAAGGCTAACTAATCCACCTTGCACCATCTTCAAAGTTCTAAGTATTCTATTATTGGACACATTTGATGAGAGCAACCTGAGTCAATGACTCAACTATCTTAAGTTTCCAAACTTGATACTACTAGTACATCAACATCCTCATATTTTTCATTACCCAAGGCAAATGCAACTTGAACAAAATCTTCATTGACCTTTCTCTCAGGACAGTCCCTTTTAAAGTGGCAGATTTTTTTTACAATTAAAACATTTTACCTTTGACTTGTCAGACTTCTTTAATTTTTATATCCCTTTATGCTCACCTTCTCCTCTTAAAACATTTAATTCTTCACCATTATCTTCAACCTTCAAATCTTTCGACTTTGAAAATTCTTTGGATTTTACCGCCGTCTGAACTTCATCCAAAGTAATAGTACCTTCATTACCATAAAGAAGGGAATTCTTAAATTGCTCAAAGGATTTGGGTGATGAATCGAACAATAGTAAATATTTGTCCTCATCATCAATATTCACTTCAATATTCTCAAGATCATCAATAATCTTGTGAAATTCTATAAATTTCTCAACTATGGATTTATGCTCCACCATTCGGAAAGAATAAAGTTGTTGTTTCAGAAATAACATGTAGGGCAAAGACTTTGTCATATACAATGATTCAAATTTTACCCACATAGCAACCGCATTTTTCTCCCTGGAGACCTCTCTTAAAACTTTATCCCTGAGGCACAAGATAATGACACTTCTGGTTTAATCTACCATCTCGGTCTTCTGTACCTGTGTAAGTTCTGCAGACATCAATGATTGACCCTTCAAAGCATCGATACACTTCTCTTGAATTAAAATTTCTTGAATCTTAATGTTCCACAACTCGAAGTCGTTATTTCTGGAAAAAATTTCGATCTCCCATCTAATCATGGTACTCAATATCTCTTTGCTCCATGCTCGCCGCACCATTTGTTGTAAATTATGACAAAATTCAATATCAATTTGTGGGTAAAAGAATAATATCAACTAAAATAAATGGTTTTCAACAATAATAATTCATACACAGATGATATAACAGAATAAGGCGAGAAAAAAATGAAGAATTATTTACTCAATTTGATCAAATGATCTACTTTGGGGGAGAGAGCAGCTCTCCAATTTACTATACTTGGAAAGTTGTTACAAGAGGTTACAAATGATTCACAAGAAAATAGTCCTTGCCTTCAGGTTCCTAAGAACAACCCCCAAGGCTTCTAAAAATTAACCATATTTTCTATCCAAGTGTTTCCCAACTTCTTCAACCTTCAATGTATGCATAACCCAAACCCAAGGTGTAAACAAGTATTTCTCAATTCCCAATAACCTTAGATAACTCCAAATGTTTTCAAAAACCTTACCTTTTTAAGGTTTTCCTTGAGAATAGCCAAAACCACATGTTATGCCTTAAACCCTTGTTCTCCCTTTTTGCATTAAGTTTAAAAATTGTTACACTATAATAACAGAAGAGATACATATTTATAATATCCAAAATCCAACAAATACATAATAAATCCCAAAATATATCTCCTCAATTATTAAAATAAAAGTTATTATTATAATCTTATAATATCTTTCAAATATTATAAATATCTTATAATATCTCTTAAAATATTATAAATATATATCTTATAATATCTTTTAGAATATTATAAATATATATCTTATAATATATTTTAGAATATTATAAATATCTTATAATATATTTTTATATTAATTTATATGATCTCCAAATTAATATAAAATATTATAACATTAATGAATAGATCAATGAACCGAACCGATTGAACCTGATATCCGTAAATCTCTCGGACCATATTACTTTTCGATTTTCTGAATTTTGACAATCTCAAAATGTGTTTTTTTTCTCTTCACCAATAAAGGTTTTAATACATATTCTAACAACAATCCTACAAATCCAATGTTTGATGTTGATTCTAACCCTTTTCTCTCCCTTGATCTTAAGCTCGACCAAGTATCCCAATAACACCAATTGATTCACAGTCTCACGCTACTCTTTTGAAATAACCCTTGTTCTTCAAATCTATCACCCGATCAAATCCAATTGCGTATTATCATGTCTCAAGATTTTCAAATGAGTCACCGTGTCACGCTACTCCTTTCACTCGATCGAATCCAATATTTGTGAAATCTTATGTAAATCCCAAAATAAACATTATGATCTTGAAGGAAAATCCCTAAGGTTTTTTCAAATGAAACCCTAAAAGATTCTCAACCCAATTTACTGGTACACCAACCTAAATTGGACGTTATCAACACTTCTCTAGATGACACCTAAACAAAAAATGATTATGTGTAATTTTTTTGTGTGTATGCATAGATGGAAGGTTGAATATGAAGAGAAATTTGTGTATGTGTTTATTGTTTCATCAAGTTGAAAATGATGCATGTATGAAGTATTTATATGTGTGCAAGTTGGAGGCAAAAGGGAAACTTAGAAGTTTGAAAAAGAATGTAATTTTTCAGAAAAGTTACAACATATGAAGAAACATATAAGTCATGTGTCAACTCATGTTAATGCATGTGTCGACCTGTTCAAGGTCATGTGTCTACACATCGAAACATAAGCTACAAACTTTAAAAATGGGTTACATGTGTCGACCTGTACATCGTATGTGTCGATACATAGATGAAATTTTTTCAGTATGTGTCAACCTTAAAAGTTATGTGTGTCGACACATAGAAACAGTGGCTACATGATTTAATATTGACCCACGAGAGTCAATTCATACCTCGTGTGTCGACACATAGACCTGTTTTTCATGCAAAAACTAATTTTTAATACATGATATATTTTCGAAATATGTTCTAAATGCATTATAAGATCCCTAATGCAAAGGTGCACATAATGACTCAGAGATACCGTTCAATATACATAAATGCTAAAGTTATCCTAGTTTTGACATCATACAAAACATCTAATGGACAAGTACACTCACATATTTCCCATTTTTATGATAAAAAAACTTGTGACAATGCATTTCGTGTAGGCTCCCCCTGAATATGTGCATCTCAACTTCTTTATGTTTCTCCCCCTTTGACAACATCAAAAAGAGACAAGGCAAACCATGAGAAGTATAATTTCTCACACAAATACTAATATATCACACATAGGGATTTTGCAAAAGTAAGAAAGTGCACTCACATATACCCATATACATGGAGTGACACAAAATTAAACATAAATAGCAAGACATACCAGGCAACATTATAGCAAAGTTGTCAGATATTATCTCAATAAGCATAAATAAAAGCACAAATTATTGTTTCACTAAGTGATAAAATTGTTAATACACAGAACAAAGGAACAAAACATGAAAGAAACATAAAATACAAAATGATTCAAAGAAAGAAAATACATAACGCAAAATACGTGACTCAAAAAGGTTTAATCCAACACCCCAAAGACTTAAAGCTTCAATAACCCCTATGATCTCTATGACTCCTATGCGGTGGCCTACTACCATGATCCATAGAATCACACTCTCTTGATAAAATTGCGAAGATTCCTCTCGTAATTCAGAATCCCAAGAGTCGTCATACTATTTATTCTAAGACTACAACACTTAAATTACCATGTTTTCACTCAACACAAAGATTACTACAAATGTAATTTGGCTCAAATATCTACTCTATGAAATGACAACCAAACCTATTGCTCCTCCTATTGTCTATTATGATAATCTTAGCATTGTCATGCATGTTTCCAATCCTATTCTTCACTAAATAACTAAACACCTTGAACATGATTTATACTTCATTTATGAAAAATTCCAAAATACGGAACTTGAGGTCCATCACATCTCAGTTTTGGATCAGGCTGACAAATTTCCTTTTTCAGTATCGCTTGGTCTGAGCTATTAGTTAGTTAGTTATCATTAACTAACTAATCCTTTTCTCATACACTTTATGTACTATGATCTCTCTATTGTAATTCAATCAATTCAACCAATAAAATTGCTCAACAATATTTAGCTACTTAGTTTTCTCTCATCATGTTAACAAAACTTCAAGTACTTCCGATAATAAACTTAGTTTTCTCTATATTTTTTCTATTATCTCCTATAAACCTCGCAACTATTATACTGTGATTAAGGGAATGCTAATAAACAGATCTAGAAAAAGTACTTTTACAAATCATATTTGACCAAAATCCTCAGCAATTTAAAGAATTGTCGCGATTTCAAATCTGGATTGTCAATCTCAAGGGACTGAAGTAATGGTGTAAAATCACTCTCCATTTTTATTAATAATGTTGCTTGCAAAAGACACATACAACAACAGTGCAAGTCCCTTGTTGAATGACTGAAGTTTGACACATGAAAAATATTTTTAACTTACAGTTCAAGTTACCTTACAACAATTCTTTTCTTCTCCTTTTTTAACTTTTATTAAATAAAATTTGTGAGGCCTTTCTTCTTACACTCTTCTTCTTTTATGACTTAAAATGAAATCGTCATCGTCGTCGTCATCACTGTCACTCTCGATTTTTCTCTTGGCTTTAACATCGCCATTATTTGATCTCTCCTGCGGCTTCTGTGAAGATCCAGTATTATTTGGTCTCGGTTGTGGCTTCTCTGAAGATCCAGTATTATTTGGTCTCGGCTGCGGCTTCTGTGAAGTTACGGTTTTAGTTGGGGGCTTTGACGACGACTTAGCCGGAGTTCCTGTACGAAGCTCCTTTTGCTTTCTCTGCTTCTTATCAAATGCTTTCTTAGCTCTTTCAAGAGACAATAATCCATGCTCCATTAACCTACATTGGATAAGAAACATTCAGATCTTCAACTATACTCTACCGATAAATAAGGCCATAATCTGATATCAATTTTCGACCGTCGACTTTTTTTTAACGATTTTCATTTTGGAACAAAATCTGATATCGACCATTGCTAGATCCTAAATTATGAGCTAATCTATTCGGAGTATCCAAGCAACATGGCTCATAAAACCTCAAAATATAAAACACGAAACTATTGAGCCGATTTTAACACGAATTTCCTTTTTCACAATTCACCAAGAATTGTTCAAAAATTCATGATCAAGAACTGCAATATTGGAAGGAAACTCACCAAAATTCTGCCATTTCACTCGTCGGTATCTGTTTCGACAATGACTCGTAGAAAATCCTCAAGGGTTCTTTCTGCAAACATAAGGTATATGATTACGAACAAACATCTTGCATTAGTCCGAGTCGATCTCTCGATACAGACAACGAATTCTAAATTTCCGGAATAAACTGTGAAAAATCAATAACCTCTTCAGGCGGATCATGTTTCTGGCCAGGCAAACTGTAGACTTTCCTCTCTCTCACTTTGGTAGTAGTAGTTTTCCTCTTCGTCGTCTTCGTAGTAGTCGTGGTTTTCGATGATGACGACGACATTGTCATTGGTTTTGATTTCACCTATCAAATTTATACAAAACAGAATTGTCATCTTAACTGATTCTTAACTAATTCTCAACTAATATCAACCAAGTTATCTCCACCATTAACAAAATCCAACTATATATCTAACAAATCATCAACTATATGTAACATCTACTAACATTAACTAACACATTTATGAATCCTAACCCTCAAGAAAGCATAAAAATCACAGAATTATGAACCCTAACTCTAGGATAAAAACATAAAATCAACAAACCCTAAGTATAATTAAATACTAATTATTACAATTGAATCCCAAAATTGAATGGATGATACCTCAGATTTAGTGACAGTAGTAACAGATTTCATCTTAGAATCGGGTGTGTGCTTGTTTGAGCTAGGGATCAGCTTCTTATTGAGAGATGAAGAGTCAATAATCTTAGGCTTGGAAGGGGCAATTTGGGAATTTGGGTTGATCTTCACTGGAGTGGTTATGGTCTCAGCCATGTCTTTGAAAGTTGTTATCTACTGTATCTATAGATTATTGAGTGTAATTATATTCAAAATATTGTGATTTAAAAGGTAAAATTATAAAGTGATGGATTTGGAAATTGGATCTTGGTGGTAGAGAAAGATTGAGAAGATGAGATAACAGAGATCTTAAGGTGGGGATGACAAAGACAGAGTTGTTGTATACAATGTTTTCAGTATATTCACTGATTTTAACGTTAATTAACGGTGGTCAGAAACACGTGTAATTAAATATCTACTATTTTCTTCCTATGTTAGTATTTTTCATTTTTATTCTTAAATTTGTATTTTTCTTTTTTAAAATAAGTGTGGTCTAAAGTTTTTAAAATATATCATATTTTTGTCAAATTAACTTTTTCACTTCTATTTTTTTTAACAAATATTTAGATAATCAATAAATATTGACTTTTTATTGATATTTTTATTTTTTCAATAATATTACTGATTTTTTTATGACTTTATTTTATCTATTTCTCTTTTTGAATAAACAATTAAAATATCATTAACATATCAATAATAAATATTGCATTTAACTTTAAAGACAGAGAACAAAAATTTTCTACAAAAGGAGACAAGTTATAAATAAATAAAAAACATATGTAACATAATACTTTGGAACTAGTATATATATGATATCAAGAAAGAAAAAAATCTCTTTCTCTTTCTTTTTTTCAATTTAATCAAAAAAAAAAAAAAGTGAGAATGACATTCATTTTAAATATTATTAAAATAATATATATTTTTTAAAATAAAGTAAATAATATTTACATTATTTTCATATTTTTCATTCTATATTTTATGATGATGGAAAATATATTTTTTATAGAAAAAAATAAATATAATTCTCTTTTATTTATATATTTTTATATTTGTCTGTGAAATTAATTTCCAATTGGATCATTGTGAGATAAATAAATAATATTTTTCTACTTTGCACACCTTCTAATTATATATATATATATATATATATATATATATATATATATATATATATATATATATATATATATATATATATATATATATATATATATATATATATATATATATATATATATATATATATAAAAGATCCGTAGGTATTTGGTAAAGGTTTAAAGTTTTACATAAAATCTCAATTGTTAATAGAAATGAACAAAAGGATTATTGTCGTTCCCTAAATTTTATCCGTTGTTTTTTACTATATTATTTTAGGAGCATTTCATTAGAAAAAAAATTAAAATATATATATGAGTAAGTCAACTCAATTATAAATTATACATGGATAATAGGTGCAGAGTCTTTTGTTCGAATCCTATTATATTTCTTTGGTTCGAATTCTATTATATTTCTTTTTATTTGTTATTTTAAAAAAGTCAACAAAAGTATAAAAAAAAGTCAATTATTGACTTCTTGGAGTATTTTAATACTATTTTCATTTTTTAAAATGGGCATTTTTTAATTATTCTTTTTTATTTATGTTTAATCACAAAAAAAAAAATTAAAAAAATCACAAGATATAAAAAATCAAAACCTTTCCAGATTTGTTATACCTATTTCTAATTGGTTGTGATTTGTCATACTTGTTTTTAATTGCTCGCAATGTGCCATACTTGTTTAATTGATAGCAATGTGTCATACTTGCTTTTGATTGATCGTAATTTGTTATACTCATTTTTTGTTGGTCGTGATTTGTCATGATTTGTCATTATCGGCTTTTCCTTCTTTTTTTAAATATAATTAGGTACAATTTTTCACAAGAAAATGACAACAATTTCACAGTAGAAAAACTCTCCAAAATCTCTCTTTGACTAATCCCTACCAATAACCTTCATCCAAACCTCCAAAAAAACCTCCTTAATTTCCTTCTAAATCTCATAACAAAACCTCCATAATTTCCTTCATAATCTCCAAACAAAACCTCATTACCACTATCACCTTCACAAAATCTCACCTCCATAAACCATATCATAAACACCCTATCCGATTTCGTCTACGCCACGCCGGATTTCACAGGTTACATGATTTCCTTGTTGTTCTTTTGTTGTATCCGTATTTGAATTGTGTTGGAATTTATGTGTCAATTTTGTTTGCTATTTTAGAGGGAATGAGTTAATTTGGTTTTAGATGCAGGGAATTTTTTTTGGGGAAGAAGAGATTTGCATCGTGAGAAAGAGAGATTGAAGTGAAGGTACAGGAAACACAAAAAAGGAGGGTTTGAATTGGGTTTCTAGATTTGAAACTTTTTCTTCCCAAACAAACAAAGATGAAACAAGAAAAAAATAAATGAACACAATTATTTTTATCCCAGTTCACTGTTAACAAATTAAATCCAGTTCACCCGCCAAGGTGATTTTTTCTTTCTCAACAAGGACTTAATCCACTATAACCAAACTAATTACAATCCACAAAGACTATACGTCAATGTCTTCTTGAGAAATTCTGACTATACCCTAGTCTCTCAAGGAACAATTAACTCAAAAGTTAAGATACAAAAAGGTGTGTTTACAAGACGCTTTTAAGAAAGCAGATTTACATAAGTTGAAATACAATGATAAACACAGAAGCATGTGTTGCAAGAAATCGGGGGAGTATGAAAAAGTAAAAATGTTAAGCCCAAACTAAAGACCCCAGTGCTTGTTTGTAATCTAGTGTGGAAAGGCGTGTTTGAAGCATCCATATTTTGCTTGATGAGATCTGATGGTGTTGATGTGAGGTTGCATGATGGACTTCTGGAAGCTTGGCGCGCTGGATCTTCAAGAAATATGTGAAAAAACATAAAAGGGTACCACTGGGGCTCGAACCCAAGTCCCTTACATTAGCGCGTGTTTCCTTTACCACTAGGGTGGCTGTTTCATCCGGTTATGAAATGCCCCCTCCAGTAAATATATTATAAACCTGTTTTAAAAAATGGACTTCATCCTCTTGCTCGCGCGCATTTACAGCAACAACAACAATTTCAAATTCTTGTAAAATCTTCATTTCTCAACCAAATTGAAAAATGTAAACATCAAAGTTGTTCCAAATTTCACCATGAATTCAACCATGCCATTAACTTAAGCTAACACTCAAAGATTAAAGTGAATTTCTGTTGGTACCAAACTGAACCCTAATATTTCAGAAGTTTCAAATCCAAAATTCTCATCACACGATCAACATAAATGAAAACTAAGGACATGATTAGTTTCAGAGAATTGATATCTATATTTTTGCTTTAGAAAATAAATGCAAATGATGCTTGTACAGAGATTTCAAAGTTTGGAAAACTTACCTCTTGATACAAAATTTGAATGCTCCCTATACAACTTCCAGAGGTGAAATGATGATTTGGTGAGCTTGCTTGGATCCTGAGGAAGTTGTTTGGATGCTCACTTGATGCTGAGAGTGGCTGAATCACTCTAACCAAGTCAAGTTGCATAGTTGGAATTTGAAAATGGTGGATGATAAAGATGTTGTTACAGTGATGAAACAAGTCTTTGGATTAATTCTATATGAGTTATAGAAACTTTGTAAATGATTTAGAGTGAAAACGCACGAGTGAATTGAGTGTTTGATGTTCAAGGTCAGAAGTTGCAACAAATGGAGTTTTATATGTAGCTTCTGATTTTGAGAGGTTTCTGAGGTTATGTCTTCGTGTTATAGCTTGATAATGACCCTTATATTTATAGGCAAAGGGTTTGAGGAGCTGAAGTAACCAGGTTTACAAGATAACCAGTAATGGCTTGGTTGTTTAGTTTTGAAGTAATTTTGAAAAATCATGGTTCCAAGGCATTATACCCTGTCTCATAGAGTTGTTGGATACTTTAAGCAAGCTTATCTGGTCTTTTAAGTTGAGTGTGTGCAGAGGAAACAATGTATGGGCTCAAGGAGGATTGACAATTGCATAAAGCATGCTTTATGGGAATGGAAGTATGATCTTTTTATCAAAAGTGGAATGATGCATTGGATAATGCTTGAATCACTTGGATAATGGCTCAAAAGTGTGTGTGATCTTCTTATTATGGATAGATTTAGAGGTTAGAGGCCTGTAAAGTGAGATTATGAAGCATGGATTGAAGATTTTGTCTTATGGTTATCATAGAAATGACATATAATTCAAGTATGAATGCCCAACTTCATTTCTTCGAATCTCCTAGCTCAAGAATGATAAAATTATGTTCTTTGACTTTTTGGAAAGCTTGAAACATTGTCTACAACTCTCAGGTTGTGAGTTTTGGATAAATCAAATGGGAACTTGGTTAAAAATGGCCATGAAGTTGGGATAAAAATCTGATCAAAACTTGTAAAAATATTTCTTAAGTGTTGGATACAAAACATCATAACTTCATGAGCTTATATCTCTTAAATTAAGAATTTTTTTAGGATCATCCCACATTAACAAAGTTGTAGAATTAGTCAAACCCTACAACTTTCTTTTTGAATGTTTTCCTTGAATCAGCTTGTATCTTGAGGAAACTTGCTTGTGAAGTTAGGGTTTCTATTAAGAACAAAAACACTTAGAATTTTTCTAAGTGTTAGAAAATTTTCCAAATTTGAATTTTGTTGAATTTTTGATTTCTTGATGATCAAGTTTGATTGTTTTGAATTTCTTGATAATTCTTGACTTTTTAATTCCAATGTTGGCCAAAAAGTCAAAGTTTGACTTTTGAATGACTGTTGACTTTTCATCAGTTGATTCAATTCTTCAACTATCAATCACTTTCATCTTTGGAAATGTTTTGAGCCATGTAATTAGGTCAATATGTTATATTTTAGTCTTTGATATCATGATTCAAGCCATTAGGTCATGCACTAGGCCAAAAGTCAATGATCAGTCATTCTCAGTCAAAACCCTAATTTGGCAATTTTTTGACCTCTGATGATTTAAGGGTTTTCCTTGAGGAATCATGATCAACCCTTGATAAAATTATGAATATTACTTCAAAATGTTGATATTGACAAACAAAATTGAAGTTTGACTGTATATTTGACCACAATTGACTTTGTACCCAATACAA